CTCTCGGGGCGGCACCGTGAGCGAGCGCCGCAGACACCGGCCGTCCGCTCTGCCGAGCGTGGACGGCGGACACCCGCCTGCTCCAGCCGTGGTGGCGAGCACCGAGTCCCAGGGTGCGGGCTCGCGCTCTTGACGGCCGAGGCCTCGGGCGCGCGGCCCCCACCCCTGGTCGTTTGAGCTTGTCGACTGTTCAGTGGAAACCGTTTTTAAAGGACGCAGACCCAGTGGTCATTCCTGTGGGAAGAGAGGAGGGGACCCGCCGCGAAGAACCTCGATGTAGGTCAGGGAAATGATCTTGCCGCTCCCCTCCACGGCCCCTCTCGCAGCCCTCTGTTGACACCAGCACCGGCCACGTTCTCTGGTCGCCTGTTTTCTTTCTTTTCTGCTCAGCCGTGATTCCCTCCACTCCTTCCCTTTCCCCCTTCCTACCACACTCCCCTTCTTTCACCACGAGTTTACTGAGCGTCCGCGGAGTTTGAGCCAAGCTCGGGCTGAGGAGCTGGGCCTTGGAGCGGCAGAAGGCGGGGCCTCGGCCTTGCATTGAGCCTGGTGGATGAGCTTCACCTCAAAGCCAGGAACCTCCTGTCCCCTGCAATCGATGGGGAATGGTTCGTCTTGGCCACTTCCACAGCGTCTCAAGCTGGAAGTTGGATCTAGGAAGAGAGTGGCAGGGGCCCTAAGAGCCAGACGCTACTGTCTGCCTCTCTTTTCTGACCGTTTTTATCAACGTTTGTTGGTTATTTTTCCTTTTTAAAATCTGCTTATGGTTTCGATATATTCAAAGGAAATAAAGATTCTCCTCAGGGAACTCACACCCCAGAATGGACACAGGGTTTCTGCACCCTCTTAGCAGGCTTCCATCCGAAAATGTCAGAACCAGGCAGTGGGCAGCCCTGTGGTCGTACCATGGCTTTAATTGGCCTACTCAGCAGTTTTTCTGTGACCGAGTTTTATGAGGGCAAAATCTTTCCCACATTTTCACCCGTTCTCTTGACCTATTTTAGTAATGCTGAGCAGAGGTTATGGACAGTATTCTTCATACTTTGGAAAAGATTATCAGAAACTGGTAGTAAATCACTGGTAAATTGTAGGGCTCAAGTGTAGCATTACTTGGTATTACTTTCATTGATAAACTTATCTTTTGGGGGTGTGTCTGCATGCTTTAAATGGGAAGCTGCACTCAGTTCCAACTATCACTTTAAAAGAGTGTATGGAACACATTTTGTTCACTCTTCCAAAATCAGACTTTAAAAATTTTTCCTGAGAAATAATCTGACAGCTGGTACTGGATGATAGTGAAATATGGCCTAATAAATTATATAGCACTTGGGGTAACACCCAGTTTTTTTGTGAGCACATCAAGGAAGCCATATAATTTTATCTGAACACTCTTGTTTAGCAATACTGAGTCTGTACTAACCTGTTTTCTTTCTCATTTTAATTCATCTCATAAGACGCTATCTCTTTAGATCAGCCAATTCCTTGACCAGATTCTTTATCATTAATCAAACTTTATTCATTCAACAAATATTTATTTAGTGCATACTATATTTTAGGTATTGAACTTTGACTTCAGAATACCTGTGTTTAGTGGAGAGGAAAGACAAAGAGGGAATGTAAATAGGGTATCGGTGTTAAAATATGGGTGTTAAGGGGCCGGCCCGGTGGTGCACTGGATATTGCGCCGCTTGGGAAGCGCGGCGGCGCTCCCACCCGAGGGTTCGGATCCCACATACAGACCAGTTCCCGCTCACTGGCTGAGCGAGGCGCGGGAGCAACGCCGAGGGTTGCAATCCCGTTGCCAGTCCCCGGTCCGGTACGGGGGCAACACTGAGGGTTGCGATCCGTTGCCGGACACGGAAAAAGACAAAAAGACAAAAAATATATATATATGGGTGTTAAGAACTGTGCAAGGTCTGGGATTTTACCTTACAAGCTAACGAGTTAAATTGTTACTGTTTCAAGGATGCTTTTGAAAGACACAAGACTCCTGGGTCAGAGACAAAAGACTTTATTATTCACTGCAGAAGGAGTAGCCAGAGTTTTGTTTTGGTTCATGTTGGTTCCCTATGCCCCCCAAATCCCGCAGGGACATTGCAAAAGGCCCATCATGGATGCCTGAAGTGGGTGGCATTACAAGAGAGGAGCACTGAATGCATAAAATTTTAATTATTTCAATAATATTTATTCAGCACCCACGTGATGTCATCATGCATTTTGCAAGGTGCTGGGGATATAAACTCATTCTCTACCCTTCCACAATTACAGTCTCATAATCAGATTGTGAGACAATTGGTTTAAATATTAACTTGCATCCAGAATCTCATAATATATGGGTATTTCCTCCTAAAAAACAACTACTCATTAATCCAGCCTGAGTCATCTCTGAACCAACAGACTGTGCCCAGACTCTTAGGATCATGTAAGAATATTGATTCTTCCAGGGCCGGCCTGTGGCTCACTCGGTAGAGTGCGGTGCTGATAACACCAAGGCCACGGGTTCGGATCCTATATGGGGATGGCCGGTTTGCTCACTGGCTGAGCGTGGTGCTGACAACACCAAGCCAAGGGTTGAGATCCCCTTACCGGTCATCTTAAAAAAAAAGAAAAAAGAATATTGATTCTTCCACAGTCAGAGGGTGTCATTCAGAGAATGGAGTTCCCAAAGAAAAAAGTGTCTACTGGGCAAACAATCATATCAATATCTAGTACATGCTTCTAGAACATTTCTAGAAGTACTTCCGAGTTTACCCCAGACTGGAATGACAACACAATGTGGAAAGGATGCCTGGGGAAGAAAGCATGGGCCTAGAGGGCTACTTAGTGGTAGCATTTATGTTATTAAAATACAGAGTTTTGTAGAATCAAGTACGATGATCAATTTTTAAAAAGAAAGTAACTGATTAAATATTCTCCTGGAGAATAAATAACTAAAGAATAAATAAAGAATAAGGAATAAATAAAGTAACTTATCGAATATTCTCCTGGAGAGTAAATCTTTCAAAAAACTATCTTTACCTGCATACCCACTGATATATAATTCTACATAAGTGCATAATCATAATTATATACACACATCTCAATATTTCTATATACATGTATATTTAGTTTCTTTCTTTTTTTTTTTTTTTGTCTTTTTTCCGTGTCCGGCAACGGATCGCAACCCTCAGTGTTGCCCCCGTACTGGACCGGGGACCGGCAACGGGATCGCAAGCCTCGGTGTTGCTCCCGCGACTCGCTCAGCCAGTGAGCGGGAGCCGGTCTGTATGTGGGATCCGAACCCTCGGATGGGAGCGCTGCCGCGCTTCCCAAGCGGCGCACTATCCAGTGCGCCACCGGGCCGGCCCCTTTAGTTTCTTTTTTGAAGACGGTCTTGAATATACCTTCTCTTCTTTTCTCCTATTCTCAAACCCCATCCCCGCTTCCCAAACCTGGCCACAAAACAACTGACCTAGGATGTGTCCCTCCATATGTACACATGCATATACAGTTTTTTTGGTTAATGCTTATTAAAAATGGGATTTTGCCTTTCTCGCTCAAAAAAAATCTCACAAAATTTTCCAAATCAACTTGTCTAGGTCTATTTTATTTTTTTAATGGTTTCATAATACTACATATATAATGTTCCATAATACTGTATTCAGTCACTTCTTATTAACTTCACCTTGTTTCCAGCTTTTGCCACAAAAACATTGTAGCAATAAAAACTATGTGTAAATCTATACACACTTGTGTTTTTATTTCTCTTGCAGTCATTTCTGGGGCAAGTGAATAGGGTGATTCAGCATATTGACCCACTTAATGTCCTGATTCCGCATCTTCCTGATTATAACAGACATAGCACCTCCCTTGGCAAGTCCAATTCTCTGGCATGGCTTTAGGAATTGGTTCTGGAATTTCAGCTTAGAATCTATCTCCTCAGCCCTACCAATGAATGTGTGAGCAAAGTATACACTTTAATAAATCTTCTATTTGAACCAGCTAGAGAGGATGCTATTGTCTACCACTAAAAATCCTAGCTGATCCAATGTATTTTAAATTTTAATAAAGAACAGTAACAATATTTTGAATAAAATGCTGTCCATATTTAAGATGATGACACTTTCCAGTCTTTGGTAAGGAAAGGGCTCTGGGTTGCTATTCCAGGAAAGATAAAAGATTAGTACAAATTAGCAAGAATTAACATCACATGTCTTAGATTCAACTAGAAAGACCTGCTTATCTGTCATCAGTGCAATGGATGGCCCTCAACTCTATGTAGCTCCCTCTTCCTCCATAAATATAACCCCCACCACCACAATGCCAGACTTTCCTCATTCCTGTCCTATTATGCAACCAGGAACACTGACCTCTTGATGCTGGTTAGTTGCTTTTTGAGTACAAATGAAAGAAGAAAGAAGCAAGCCATTGTTTTTTTAAAACCACCTATGTGGTCAATCTCATTCAATTGCCACCACAAGATTCCTTTGAATACTTTCGCTTCCCACCCCACCCCCTTTATTTTTTATTCCTGAAACTTTCACTCAATCATTTGAGGACGGGGATAAAACCAAACAGTACAACTGTTTAAATCTTTTTTATTTCAACACAGGCATTGTTTTAAATTTGCACCTTGTACTGTAACACATTTCATACCTAGAGAATAGATCTAAGAACAACTACATAAAAGGATTATTTGACAAAGTTTTAACAAAAGTGTTTATAGCTTATTTGTTTCAGAAACACAGAATTGCTAGACACAAACAACCACTAAGTGGCAATACATTCATTCACAAACTTGCTTAGAAAGTAAAATATTTACATATTTACACTGTACATTTAGGTGGGATACTCTGATACATTATTAACAATAAACTCTTAGCAATAAGACTTCTTGGAGTTCAGTGGAACATATTAATTTTATGGAGGTGTGAAATTTCCAATTTGATTTCCATCTTCACCATAACCTAAGTGAACTTTCTTTCACCACCTTCAGTACACATGCTTACCTCCTATACAAAATAGCTTTTATAAGCTTATCACCAACCAAACCCTTGTTAGTAACAGATGGAGTTTTATTATCAATGTATTTATAATGTAAGGGTAAATTATTTAGAAGGAAGTCTCTAAAAATTATAATCTCATTAAACCCTATTTTAAATGAACTTTACAGTATAAAATTTATGGTCACATAAGTCTAATATCTAAACAAGTTAATAATTTACAAGGTACTTATTTGTATTGATACTCTTATGATTTACTCCATTTACATGGATAATTATTTTAATAATGACATCTTTTAGAAAACAAGTTATGAATATAAAAATGACTATTATAAATTACCATAGCTATACCAAAAATGAACATTAAAAAAGCAGCAATTTGTATGTTAAAATACATAGAAATTTGCTCTACTTCTTTAGCAAAATGCTTTACAAAAGTATAAAACTATAAAAGGTGCTATTTTCTTGAATTTTCAATTTTCTTGATACTTGAGCCAGACCAACAAGCAAACATTACAAATAGTGCAACTGAGCACTGGTAATCAATTTACTTTGAATTCAGACAATAGATTCCAGTGCACAGAGTCGGGCCCCAAAGCAGTTGTTCATCCTTTTGTTAACATACCTAACTGTTGATAGAGCCTAAGCTCACTGAAAAATAACTTTATCTCACCTTTTGTAGAATACATGTAGACTCAGTATTTACTGAAATAGAGCTAACAAGCTTATCATTACAAAATCAAGACTTAATTAAAATATTAACTCTGAATATCTTAACATAAGAAAATATAGGTCATGATTTATGAAAATTTTACTCAAGCAGATAAGTAGTAAAAGAGGAAAGGCAGAATTTATAAACATACATGAAACAAAAATAAAATGTTATTCTTTACCATATAAATTTGAATTGACAAGTTCAGAACAGTCGATTTAAAATTTTATCATCAGTCTCTTTGCACTCAAGATTGGTCAGAGCTTCAAATTTAAAACAGTTGACAGATTTAAGGAATAGCTTTCACATTAATTACCTCATCTTCATTCATTTTGAGTTTCATGGGAACAATGTAAACTAGCCCTGGCACTTTGTTCTAGGCAAGACAATTATTAGAAGGATAATAATAATATAGCTCTTTCTTGCATTTCTATCAGTTCTTACATTACTATCAGCATGATAGTATTGAGACCCAAGATTGCATGCTGTCTAGTTCTAGCAAATTATCTTCACCACCATCTATTGGTCTTTATCTTGAATTAGGAGAGAAATCCCCAGATGTTCTGCACAGTAACAAAAGTTAGGAAAGCCAAATTATCAGGAGGTATCAGAAGTGATTTACTCTAGATAAATTATTGAAAAAGTCATAGTGACAGGTACTTAGGAACTCTTCCTTAGAATTTCCCAAGGATTTGCTAAACGATCCTGCAGAGATGCCTGTGAATCCTAGTGTCAATTCTGACTTGACAGCATTTTTGGGACTTGGCCAAGGTTCCCTCTTGATACTTGTAACTGAAATGTCCCACCTGAAAAGAAGTATTCTATCCTGCAAATAAAGAAAATGTGAAAATGGATAGTTCTAGTTCTGGCAGAATGTGAAAAAAAAATGGGAGAGCTGAAGTAAAGATGTCAGTGCCATGAAGAGAAGTCTTCTTGTCTCCTCCCCTCAGTTATGCTCCCTTCATAAACAGAAATTCTGTGGCCACGCCACTATCCATATGGTAAGGTTGCCTGGCCTAAGTCCTTGGCTTGATTAAAACTCAGCCCTTAATAATTCAGCCTGTTTCAGAGATATTCGTAGGAGTATTAATATTCTATTAGCTTATTAGTGATTCAGCTCCTCATCTATAAATCTATAACTTCAACATGTACTTTAAATATGTGCCTCCTGGGCTCCATTATGGATATAACAGGACGTCCTTATGAAAATTCTTTTATCTTTGTCTCAAAGAAAAAAAATTCCTCAAACTCTTAAATGTTGTTGAGTCAAACAGGGTGATAATATTTACTCTACCGTCATTGTCCCTACATTTTATTTAATGTCATGAGTATAAGGTACAGACGGGAAGAGGCAATACAGAGTTTTGCAGTTCTGCTGAGTAATTAATAAGTTTTCCATGTGCCTGGGATATTAAGGTTGCAAATCACAATGAATGTGGAAACATTTTAGGGGGACAGTAAAGCAGAAAGCCAAAATTGGACAGTGAATTTGAGATTAAGTTAGCGGAGAGTCGGGGAGAAGGCAGGCCAAGAACAGACATGGAAGGAGAAAATAGCAGAAAATTCATTGTTCTGGAATTCAGGAAGTATATATATAGCATATAGAGGGAAAAAAGGAAATCTGGGCTGTTTGAGAGCAGGCACTGCCCAGACTAGACCTTTTATATTTGCCTTTCCCATGGACACACACATTTACACTTCCTTTCCATGACAAGCTTTTGGCGAAAAGGTTATGCATTTTATTAAAAAAGCCTCACAGTTCTGACTCTTTGTCCTTTTCATCCAGGTAGTATTCATCATCTGTGGTTGTGTCTGTGTCACAATCTGAGTCCACTGGGTCCTCCTCATAGATATTAAGTGGTTTATTTGGAGATAAGCCATCTTCGGGCATCTGACCACTAGGAGAATTTGAGCTTAACAACTCTGATGGGTTGGGAGGGTTAATCACATCATCTTTCAGGAAGCCAGGGTTCTTAAGAAAACTTGGTTTCCATAATCTTCCTTGTGTGAGTGACCTCTTTACATTCTCCAAGAAAGCCAACTGTTGTTCTTTCCCGAAAATACCGTAGTCGATAGGTCTGGATATAGATGATGCAGACTTGGGACCTGTTTTTGTCCTGCTGCTATACAAAGTCCAACTTTCATTTTCATCACAGGAAGGAAATTCAGAAAATGATTTGAATCTTCGACTGTACCCATCGTTGACAGAGAATTCATTCCCAAGGGTCAGTCGACTCAGGGTATTGTCAATAGAAGTGCTTTCAGAAAAATGGCGCTCCCTGACTTTTGGAGGATGACTTTTGTGTAGCAGATCACCGTGCACATTGATGCTTTTTAAACTCTTTGAACGATAGAGGTGTGACTCAGGTTCCCACTCCAGGGATGAAGCGTTCCTTTGCTGCTGCTGACAACTGGCTAGAGGGATACTGAGTGTAGATTTCTGTGCAGGCTCCAGTGGAAAAGGAGAGCTCAGCCTCCTGTGATGGTCGGAGAAGTCTGCTTCCCTGAGGCTGGTGAATTTGAGCTGGTCCGGGGCTCCTGACTCTCTTTCCAAAATCTGAGCTGTTATGTCTTTAGAATTCTCATGCTTTGGTGGTGATTCTGAGACATTATTAAACCCATTCTGATGTAGTTGTGAAATGCTGTCAGACTTCTGATTGCTGGAGCGTATAGAAGGTTCTCTGTTGGATATTACAGTAACCTGGAGAAGGTTCTCAGATTTCTCCACATTCATTCCATCATTACTTGACCTGCTTTCACCTATGGATTCTGAGGACTTTGTAGTAGGCTCAGGGGACAGTGGGTTGCACTCCAGTGTGCCGAGAGATAAACAGCCAAAGCCAGACCTGCTCCCACTTTGGGGGATGATAGTAGCTACATGTCTTCTGGGACTTAACTCTTTAGCTGGGAATTTTCTGATTGCTGTAGACTTGGTTAGCCATCTGTGTTTAACTGAAGATCTGTCTTCCTCTTTTTCTAGGTCATCCAGGTTGGTTTCATTTTTATTATTTCCCCCAGGAAGTAAAGGTGGATCCCATGCAAACTTCTGCATTTCATCTTTAGCCTTCCTGTTCTCTGTCATATTTACCTCCTCACTTCTTTGAGGTGATCCTCTGGGTTCAGTCTGCAAGCTCTCTAAATCTGTGTCCCCTGAATGAGTCTCTTCAACAAGCTGTAGTTTATGCAATGCTGGAATAAGAGCAAAGACTTGGTTTTCTGAGTCAGAAAGTGTTTTCTCAGTCATTTTTTGGCAATCTATTCTGATTTCCCCTTTGACTTCCCTACACTGTGATCCACTGATGCCATTATCTACAGCTCTGGCTGTGTGATCTTTCTGAGGACACTTTCCATTTCCAGTGAATGTAGCAACTATTTCACTACCTGCACACACCCCGGAACTTCTTTTGGTTTGGAAATTTTCAATATGATCTTCTGAATGGGCTGGTAGACTAGAAGAACCACTGTTACCTGAATTAATAAATTGTTGACAATTTTCATACTTTTCTTCTGTACCATTTTTTTCTTGAAGCATCAATGAGGTATGCAGAGTTTCACTTTGCAACTTGATTCCTCTCTCTTTCCTGCTTTGTGAATCATCCAGAGGAGTTTTAGCTAAATTATCTGGGAAAATCTCTGTAGTTTTAGATTCTCCTTTATGAGGAGAAACATCTGCCTCAACAGAAACCATTTCCTGTAATGTAGACTCTGAGGGTCTTCTACTTGGTAACTGCAAGATGGTCATATTCTCAGTGGTATGAGGAAGACAACGGCTATTCTTCTGAGCAGAGTTAACCAGCATCTTTAGATTTTCAGATAAAGGTGTTCCTGACTGCTCTTGCACAGAATAGTTTAGTTCGTTTTTTTCTAAAGCTTTACAAAATGTTTCAGTCTCCACTTGAGGTGATTCTGTAAGTGAATCAGTACTTTGTGTATACTGTTGAAGGAGGTTACAGAATGTTTTGCTCTGTTTCCTTGGTAGAGTGTAATATATTGAAACCACCTCAAGACATTTTACATTATCTTCATCACCAGAAACAGAAAACGTACTAGTAGTCTTAAATTTATGTACTGTTTTCCCACTTTCTTTTCCTGACAGATCTGAACCAAAAGGTACAGAGTCTTTGTTTGAAAGAGAAAATACACTTGTCCTGGAGGCAGCAATTTTGCCATCCTTTTCAGTGCATTCTTGAGCGTATTCCTTTTGGTGGTATCTTTTGGTTAAATAACAGTCTCTAACAGAGGAGTCACTTTCCAGAGGGTTAATGTTCCTCTCCCTAGGCCTTGGTGTTATGGCAAAAGCACTCGTGTCTGAGACTGCTGATTTTTTTCTTTCATCCCTTCCATTTGAGGCACATGGATCTCCTGAAGGACATGACATAGTCCTCTTGATAAGGAACGGAAGTGGTCCTTTTCTCACAGAAGATTTCATGATTTTCATATTTGTCATCCTTTCCATGGCTTCAGCTGCTACTGGAACTGAGTTTGAAATGACTTTGGCACATTCACTAATTGACTCAGGAGAACTGGGACTGACTTCGTCTGATGTGTGCTTTCCTATTGGATCGTCCACATTATGTTTGATTTGGAATGGAAGCGGCCCATTCCTAAACGAAGCAGCCATTATCTTACTTTCAGACTGCCTATTATTTGTGAGAAAACTAGCTGGTTTTCTTGGCAAGGTACAATAAATTGTGTCAAACTTGGAAGCTTCGGAACTGCTCTGATTCACCTCAATGACGCTACTGCTATCATTTGTAGGTGTTGATTTACTTTCTGTTTTGCTTAACTTTTCAATACAGGATATGTGACGTCTTACTTTTCCTTTCCCCTTTCCACTCCTGAAAGGAGAGTGTGAGTGGCATTTGACAAAATCAACCACTTCATTATAGACAGGCACATAACTATCATCGTCCTTTTGGTTTTCTGAGGGGCATACAGCAAATGGATCACTTTGGCTCTTGCTAGCATTGTCTTTTCCTTCTCTTTCTCCCAGAGATGAATCTTCATCTGAAGGGCTTCTCCTGGAGAACCCTGTAGTAGAAGAAATCACAAGAGCATCAGGGAAAGAATTATTCCATGATGAGGAATCTGGTAGTGCACCTGATGACACACCTAAAGAATCACATGAGATATTGTGCCCGGCAGCCAACTTGGTATAGTTAATGGAATGAGTTGTGGTACATTGTTCTCCCTTGGTGTCTAAAATAACAGGCTCCCCTGGAGACTGTGCATTTTGATTACCTGTAGGTTTATTAATACTTGAAATATCTTCATTACTTTCTGTTAATTCCTGGTGACAATCTTGACTCAGGCTGGGGAAAGATGGTGGTGTTCTACTTTTCTGAATGAAAGGAAGGGAAGTTGCTGAGCCAAGTTGTCTGTTACCATCAAAACTCTGGTCTATTTTAAGTTCATTGGCTTTATCTCTGTGTGATATATAAATTTTGGAGGAATCTTTCCTGGAAAAGGCTCTGGGTGACCTTTTTGAAGTTATTGTCATAGATACATTTGAAATAAACCTGTTGCTCTTGGCTGAATCCTGGGAGAGGGGATTTTGAAAATCAGGTAAAGGGTTAGAAATTACTGTCTGTGAAATAGATTGGGGTATTTCATCTGTCATGTTTATTTGGTCCTTCTTGTTTAGTTTGTCTTCTTCTGAAAGAGATTCATTCAAGTCTTTCTTATAATTCACTTCCGTAGCCAAGATATTGGGCTGGCTTTCAGCAAGAAGTGGAGAATCAACGGAATCACTGTTGGTCACAGTGACTTCTGTATGGCTTCTTATTGGAAGAGAGGCAGGCTTATCAGGAATAATTTTCTGCATAGTGACTGTGGGATTCTGAAAGTTGGGACTCTGAGAATCCCCTCTGTCATCAGGAATTTGGGGAAAGGAAGTTTGGAATGAGGATGCTAGAGTCTGAGCAATACCCAATGAGTAAAATTCTTTGTTTTTATGTACTACTATAGGAGAACTGTCCTGTTGATATTCCAACCCACTAGATGTGATGTGATAACTTGAACCAGACATGGAGCAAACATTTGGTGTGCCATAATGAGGAGTCAGCTGGTTCCCATTACCTTTTGATACCTCCAAACTCTCCAGTGTGGACATCTGAACATCAGACTGCCAGGGATGTGCCTCTTCTTGGACTTTGGAAACATCTGCTCCATAACCAGGAGAAATCGATCCCCAGTGCTGAGAAGAAACACTATGGCCATGAACAGCTGATGCACTATTTGTTTCAATGGAAATCATGTCAAAGTCTCTGTCAGAAGAAGTGGATGGCTTCCTGCTTTGATGAAAGTCAGACCAGGAGGAATGTTCTTCCTGTTGGCCCCAAAAAGGATTTTGTCCAAATCTCTGTTCTCTGCTTCGTCCAAAGGTATTGCTAAAGAAAGATCTAGCAAATGAGTTGTCTTTACGGTAGAATGGCATATTCTCTGAGTTCTCAAATGTGTCAGGACTCATTGCATTATCCATGGGGGCATTTAAACTAACGCTTTGGAAAACATTCTGTGAATGGTACAATTCATCTCTTCTGTTCTCCTGAAAACTCCTGGGATACATATACTGGTCAGTAGAGTCAATTTCCATTGGTGAAGGTACCCTCAGAAACTCTTCCTGGTTCTGCTTATCTGTAGAAGAATCTGATCTATTCCATATGATGGCTGATAGAGGAACTCTCTTTGGGCTCTGCTGGTGGTGTGGCGGCACAAAACCATGCTTGCTCTTAGTCACGGTTGGAAAATGTAAGCTTCTTGTTGTGAAATGCCTTGTGGCTGGTGGGGTTGATCGTCGCCTGCTGTCGAAACACAGGGAAGTACTACCAAAAGTATTCTTTTGCACAGCATCTTCTTTTAAGACTCTGGGCTCCCTTGTCTTGTACATATCATAAATTGTTTTTGTCCTAGGAGAAAAGGTTTTAAAACCTTCCCTAGGAGTTCTTGGTCTTAGGATGTCATAGATAGACATATTGGAAGTTTCATTATAGCTATTTTTGTGCCTTCCTGTGAGATTATCGTGTCTGTTCCCACTGGAGTAAAAATGACTGAACTGTGTTCTTAATCCATAGGTGGGGGGCATTCTGGTATTCACTGAACTTGCAGATTGTTCCTGAGCCAGTTTGCTATCCAAATCATCTAAAACTGAAAGAAAGATAGGAGTCAATTTTTTGGATATGATTTTACAGTTAAATAATAATCTGAGTTGTAAAACACCCATCTTCAAGAAACATAATTTGTATCATATTATCATGAATGCAATGATTATATTAATTTTGGATATAAGGTAGCCTGACTTATGCAAGACTGTAATGGAAGTTTCTTTTTCATACTTTTTCAAGTCATACTTTTTCAAAGTAAACCTTACCTAATGACTTAAGGACATAAAGCTATATTTTTTCTAACAATGAATTTTAATCATGTTTTTTTCTAAGACATAGGCCTTTGTAAGACATTGGTTAGTAATAAAAGGGAATTAATAATGTAAATTGCAGTATTGGTTCTACCATTTTTTTTAATGATTTTTAAAAATCAACTTTATTGAGATATATTTTACATAAAGTAAATACAGTAATTTTAAGTGTTTAGTTCTATTCCTTTCAACTACCACAATCAAGATATAGAATAATTAGTTCCATCACCCTAAAAATTTTTTTCATGCCCTGTCCCAGGCAGTTCCCATTCACCACTGTTTTCCATCACTAAAGGTGACATTTCTCTTTTCTAGGATTTCATATAAATAGAACCATATAGTGTGCACTTTTTTGTGTGTCTGACATCTTTCCTCAGCATAATGTTTCTGATTCATCCACGTCATTGTATGTACCTATAGTTAATTACTTTTTAATACTGAAGAGGATTCCATTTTATAGATATGACACAATTTGCTATCCAAACACCTACTGATGAATATTTGGTTATTTCCAGTTCTGGAGTATTATAAATGAAACTGTTATGAACAAGTCTTTGAGTGGATGTATTCTTTTATTTCTCTTCAATATCTAGGAGTAGAACTGCTGGATCATAGAATATGTATTTGTTTAACTTAACAAAGAATTGACAGTTTTCTTTTTTTTCTAATTTTATTTTATTTTGTCGATATACAATGTGGTTGATTATTGTGGCCCATTACCGAAACTTCCCTGCCTCCTCCCTCTCCCCCCTCCCTCCAACCAACAACGTTGGTTCTACCATTGAATAACTAGACAACTGTGGGTATTATTAACCCATGTCTTTCTGTTTTTTTCATGCTACTAAGTCTCTAAAGTATTTCCACCTGTGTTTACCTTATGGGCTTGTAATAGAAATGAGTCTGTAAATAGCATGTGATTTCTCAGTTGTACTATTAAAAACAGCATTACTACCAAAAGATAAACAGCTAATCTATAAACATACTTAGAAGGATTTGAGGAATACGTATAATTAAAAGTTCTATACACTATTATTAAATGATATGCTAATGGTAGATTTTTTTCCTGAAAAAATTAAGACCTATTAGCATTCCTATAATACAGCACTTTCTATGTGTCAGGCACTTATCTCACATAACCTTACAAGATTGGTACTACTACTATTCTCATTTTATAATGAGGAAACTGAGGCATGAAGACATTAAGTAAATTGCCAGGATCACACGGCACTGGAATTTGAATCCAGGCAGTCTGTCTCCTGAGTCCATGCATGTAAACTCTGTGCAATGCAACTGATGGGCTCTAAAAGCTGACTTTTCATTTTTACTCTTTATGAACTATAAAGATGACTTCACTATGATATGAGTTTGTAGTTTTACAAGGATGTGAAGTTGCTGTTGTCAAACAATGATTACTTTGATCTCAGTAGCAAGGTCAGAGAGTGGTGTCCAAGTCGTGGACCAGTGATCTCCTTGTCATACCAAGGACCCAGGCCAAGTGGAGCCCCAGGGTTCATGCTCATTACGACCACAGTCTTTGTGACCTCAAACAAGCCACAGCATATTTTCATTGATATGGTTGGCATTTCTTCAAATTGTGTTTGTTTAATTATATTTGACATCTTTTTCTCAATAAAATCCTGTCAGAATTTAAATAGAACCATAATCTTTCAGGCTCTTTAAGTTCTCTAACATCTATCTCATAATAGATGTATTTCACCATATTCATGTACAATAAATACAAATACATTATGTATTTATTGGAGAAATGTTCATTAATGAAAATCAAATCTGACATGGGAAATAAGTTATAGCATTATTTAAATTGCTGAAAGAGGTTTTTGTTTGTTTTGTTTAGCAGCTGGTTGGTAGAGGGATTGAACCCTGGACCTTGGTGTTTTCAACATCATGCTCTTAACCAAGTGAGTTAACTGGCCAGACCCGAAGAAGTTTTGGTTTACAGAAATCTCTCCTTCTGAGTTACATAAATAGTGCATTAACATTTGTTATCTTAAATTATTTGTCATTTAGAATTCTGATTTTAACTAGACAATGACAGGGAAAGTGAGGCATATTAGTGTCTGCATGCAAATGGTATGTACATGTGACATGCCAATTACGTTAGGACAGATGCTAAAGGCATTTTTGATGTTCGTTCTGGATTTTCCCTACTCTATTTTATTTGTGAGTTGGTGCAATTAAGTTTGTACAGCCAACAGAAGAATTAATCTTGAGCATAAAGGATCTGTAAACTAAGGAATTCTTTAGGGAATCTTCCCGTCAATGTTTTAATGAAAAACTATTTATTTATCCCTAGTCTTCCAAATAATCTATTCTCTACACCCACAATAAAATAATCAAGCAATGCCAAAGTATAAGGTGGGGTAAAAAGAAAACAAAACTATGTAATGAATGAAAATCTGTCTTTCAAACAAATAATAGTAAAATCTCTTTGATCTCCATTCTCCCTTTCAAGTTTGTTTGTCTCTCCCTTAAAGTCTTTTTCTGACTACAAAAGCAATGTATGGTTAGAATAGAAAATTCAGGAAGGTATAACAAAAGAGGTAAAACCACCTGGAATCCTAACCAGAAGTAACCATTCTTAACATCACTATAACAGGATTTTAAATAATTCATAGTCAATTAGAATCCCAAATTAATGATGCTGTTTTACTCACTATGCCTGATGTCAGAAAAACTTCTGCATGGTTCTCTTCTTTTTTTTCTGAGAGGACATGTCATTTTTTAAAAAAGTTCCATAAACAGTAGCTCCCCTCTTCAAACAAAACCTTCATTTTGAAATATATATTTTCCTTGGGGTCTCTGCCAGGCACCATCTTACTGAAGGGAGTCCCTGGGGTGACCATCCAGCTGAATGTCTTTCATTGACCACCCCGCCTGTCCCACACACGGGCAAGGTGATGTCATTACCTTTGCAAACTGAATTTAGTTCCTCAGGGTGAAACTGGTGAATGACTTTAGAGATAACTTTTCAATTGGCCAGGCTTATTTTCACACAGAATAACCTATGTAAAGGTGAACTACGATTGTATAATAATAAGAAACATGTGCACATGGTGCTTTTGGAATCTGTTTCAGTTTTCATCATTATCTATTGTACAAGGTTAATTGTTTAATGACAATTAGATTTTATCACAATGCATTTAGGTCCTAATGAGGAATAATTAAAGTCTAGTAAGTGCAGCAAACTTTATAGATATATTTCCAAAAGATGTATTTCCTTTGTTAAATATTAAACATGATTACTGTTCCATATATCACTTTGACCTGAGAATATTTGCTTAGATTATATTTAATCACAAGATTTTAAAATATTTGTATTAATAATATATTTGGCATCCTCTACAAATAAAGTAAACAAAAAGACTTCAAAAATAAAGTACAGGGTTTGATATGTTTTGAGCACTTCAATACAAACTATAAATATTATTTGCTTCTCTTTAGTACTGGGAGTTCCGAAAGTGACTTAACGCATGGACTTACCTTGAAAAATCTCATTCTCCAGCAGGGAGGCATCCCATGGAGGAGGAATCCCACTTCCCTCCTTCATGACTGCTGGCTTGGAGACAAATGCACTGTTGACTGGTCGATTTTCCAGAGGTGAACTGTATGCTTTTGTCTGCTAATTTTAGAGTAGAAAATACAATATTATTTCTGGATCCTCTCCAGACAAAATGCTCCCACGAAAATGCCCCAAGCTTAAAAGTCCTAACTTAAGGACTATAAATCAATTTTCCTAACATTTATTTCTCAACTTACAATGTTTTGTTGTTTTTGCCATTTGGAACCGATCATGAACTTCATACTTACACTAATTCTTTCAACTATGAGTCTTTAGGCAAGATACTGAGCCTCTCTCTGCCAAAGTTTCCAACAAACTTACACAGCTCTATACAAATCTGTTGTGGGGTGGGAGGAGTGTTCCTGGCAGACAGGAAAGAAATCAACCTTTCCTGAGTGGGAGTGTTGTCTCCACATCTCCAATGGCTGGGATTTTGTATTTCCTAACGCTGTACCTATTCTATCAGGAGCCTATTAGCTGAAGCTTGTAATGGACCTTCAGATTTGTGAACTTGGTGGATTTAGAAAAAAAGTGTTTTTACTCAGAGGTCACCTAGAATGGTAGAATCCTAGTAGTTCTGGAACAAAGGCACCAAAAGGTATGACCTTAGAAGTTTTTAAAACCATTGCAAGTTTTAAAGGATTTAGGAGAATGATACAGAGGTAAAGTTGTTTTCCTTTTATTTTTTAACTAGCAAATGTTTATCTTGATTTCATCAAATACAATCACTGCCCTACTTTCAAGCTTTAATTTGTCTTTATAACCTTGGGAGCCACTCCCGTATCTTTACTTTCTTGTGCCAAAACTTCATTTGCATTTCCTCTGTCAAACTGGCTCTGTCACTCATGGCTCCACTTTCACACGTCCTGCACATCCCTGAACAAGGCTGGCAGTCACTTCCCTTTCCAGTCTCTTTATTTGCACCTCATTCTGCTACCCAGTCCTTGCCCCTTGAATCCCTTTCCTCCCCAACTTAATCCTTTCCATTTGATGTTCAACATTACATTTCCATCTTTAATGCCTAAGACCAAATGTCTAACCTTTCCAAAGTTCCAACTTCTCAATTTTTCCATCACAGGTCTGTCCAATTCTAATACCCAGTTCTCTTACCCCTTCATTCCTCACAATCTAGTATTTTCCCTCCTGCCTGTTTTCTTTCTCAAAGTCTAAGTCAGTTATTTCTTACAGAAGCCTTCCTAATTGCAATGAGTTGTGGTTTTCAGTTCTATGGGCAAGCCACAATTGACTACTCACAAAGAAGATTAATTAATAAGGAAGAAATGTTCCCATGATAATCTATTAGTCATTGGATATAACTTAATGCACTAATATGAAATTCAGAAGTAAGCAAACATTAGAAGCAAAACATAACTACAGTGAGATACCAAGTGAAGATAATAAAAACTCAACCTAGTCATTTGAGAAATAGATCAGTTAAAGTTAATTCTAAAGCACATCAAGGTGTTCTCTTTTGTTTCCTGCCTAATGTGTCTCCAACTCTTCATTTATGATAATAACAATTAATCACAAATAATTATAAGAATAGATCTTATAAATACATTCTTCCCAAATCTGCAGTTTTGATGGCTGGTGCAGAGTAGATATATCTGGTAAAGAGAATACCAAACATCACTGTCTTTCAACCATTTTAACACCCAAACAAACTTCAAATTTCCTCCATGTAGATCAGAGAACATTCCTTGTGACCTCCTGGATCACATTCCTTTATAATGAAAATTTACGGTGAAATGAAAAGTACATGAACTGTAGGGTCATGTGAAAAGATGAAATGCTCTAGGATGTGAAGAATTAGTACCATCTAGAGATCTGAGTATAATTTCCTTTGATTATATATTTCTGCTCAGACCTCTCCTTCAAGACCAACCCTACTCACCCAACATATTCAGGATGATTCCAACACATAGAGATGTGAATTACATGGCTAAGAGAAAACACCTAGGGTTTACTTATACTTAACTTTAACTCTGCAAGGATTTTTTTAGTGATAAAAGTGTTTTTAAAAAGTAACTGCAAGGGGGCCGGCCCGGTGGCACACTGCTATAGTGCGCCGCTTGGGAGTGTGGCGGCGCTCCCGCCGAGGGTTCGGATCCTACATACAGACCGGCCGCTCACTGGCTGAGCACGGTGCGGGAGCAACACCGAGGGTTGCGATCCTGTTGCCGGTCCCAGTCCGGTACGGGCGCGACACTGAGGGTTGCGATCCGTTGCCGGTCATGAAAAAAGACAAAAAAGGAAAAAAAAATAAAAAAAGTAACTGCAAGGGCTGGCCCATGGCTCACTTGGGAGAGTGTGGTGCTGAGAACACCAAGTCAAGGGTTAAGATCCCCTCACTGGTCATCTTAAAAAAAAAAAAAGTCACTGCTAGTCAATGGTAAGTATCACATATAAAGAAGATCAAACGCTCACTGATTTATAGACCCCTAACTTGTATTTAAGCTATGTGTGAGATATTATTATTAATATTAACATTATTATTAACATTATTATTATTATTATTAGCAGCAACAACTAAACATTGATTATTCTGGGCAATGTGTAAGGGCTTTATATGGGTTACTTTATTTCATTATTTTAATGACACTATGAGGTTGGTACTATTATCCCTACTTTGAGAAAATTCAGGTTTCAAGAGGTCCGGTCATTTGCCTCAGGTCACACTGGTGGAGGGAGAGGTTCACGCCCAGTCTGCTGGATTTCAGAGCCCGTGCTGAATCACCTCCCTAGTCCTGAACAAATTTTGCAGCACTATATCCTAGTATATAATATACGACAGTATATAACATGCTATTAGTGCACTATATCCTAGCAGTAGGCATTCTCTGAAGCCAAACACAGATCTTAGAGCTGCTGGAAAGCACCCTAGAAAAGAGGTAAATCCCTCCAGGTCCCAGAACAGATGCTGATCTTCAACAGGGCTCAGTCTTGAACTCAGAATTCACCTCAAAATAATGCATGGAGTCGCCATAAAAGGTGAAGTCTATTTCCCACCCCTGGCCTACAGGGAGGTTCAAACACCACTTTGCAGCAAAATTGTGTAAAATTCCTTTTCCAATTTTTGATGTAAGCCTTTCCTCCCATCTCTCCATGGATGTCCTGTGCTCCAAGCTCACTATGCACAGTTCCCCAAAATGTCATGTCATGTACTTCTAGGCCCCCATGTCTCCGCTTCTGGTTTTTGCTCTTTCTCTGTTTCTTCTTCTGGAAAATAGAGTCCAGTTTATATAACACCATCTCTGTGAGCCTTTCTCTAACTCTCTTGGGCAGAATTAATTCTGGTGGTATTCTTTTTTTTTTTTTTTTTCCTTTTTGTCTTTTTTCATGACCGGCAACGGATCGCAACCCTCAGTGTCGCGCCCGCACCGGACCGGGACCGGCAACGGGATCGCAACCCTCGGTGTTGCGTCCGCACCTTGCTCAGCCAGTGAGCGGCTGGTCTGTATGTGGGATCTGAACCCTCGGCGGGAGCGCCAGTGCGCTCCCAAGTGGCGCACTGTAGCAGTGCGCCACCGGGCCGGCCCTCTGGTGGGATTTTTTAATGCACCTCTGCTATGTACCTGCTATGTCATACTCAAAGCTGTTTACATTCTTCCCACTTTTAGTTTACCAGTAGTCTTCTCCCCTTTCTCCCTACCTCAAATTTCAGTCCCCTCCATGATTCAGAAAACCAACGATTCAAAGACAACTGAATCAGGACCTTGTACGTGGATCAATCTCTGAAATGACTAAGAAAGCACAGTATTCTTCTTTGTATCCCCAGCACCTAGTATGGTGGTTAGCATATAAGAGATTGATTAATATCAAATCCAAGACTACTCTTCGCACAATAATATTCTCCTCTTCTGGACTTCTCTAACACATTTTTGTGTACTCTTTTCTTACCGACTTTCTTATATTTGAACAGAAGTACTCATTTATTCAGTTTTCAATATACTTTTTAATATCCTCTCTCATTGGGTCCTTACAAAAAATTTGTGAGTTATGTAGGGATTATCATTCCCATTTTGCAGATGAGAAAACTAAGTCTCTTGTAAGTGCCTTACGTAAGTCATATGAATAATATAGGGTGGCATCAGCTACTCACACTCATATGATCTGATCCTTAACCCTGTTCTTTCCATTATGTTGCTTTTTACTGTTATTTTACTAATGTACATATCTTCAGTTAGACGGTAAACTCTCTGAAGAGAGGAAACTTGTTGTAAACATTCCATACCCTTCATTGCATGTGGCGTGATACTTTGCACAGTTATGAAATGATCTATGATACACCAACTTAGAAATCCACATATATAAAATTTCTAGTAAAGAATATTACAGAGATTGTGACACTGAAAATTTACAATATAGGACTCAGAAAAGCATGTTGAATGCAGGGACAGCACAGTGGTTAAGCCCATGAGCTCTACATAGGTTCAAATCCTGGTTCTGCCCATTAATATTTATATGACTTTGAGCAAGTAACTTAACCTCTCTGTACCTTCGTTTCTTGGTAAAATAAAAAGAACAACCACCACAACAACACCTACCTCATAGGGTTGCTGTGAGGATCAAATGAATAGTTATAAAACACTTAGAATGATGTCTAGCACTTAGTAAGTCCTTACTATTAGCTACTACTATTCTTTCGTGGTTTTTCCGGAGAATTTCCTGAGGACTTCTGCTGATGCTTGCAGCCCAACAAGCTAGAAAGGTTTCCCACAGGATTAAACGCTGGAGTCTCCAAATGCTGGCTTTCAGGATCTCAGTTACATTCTCAGACACGGTACACAAAATAGGCTGAGAAAAATGAGGACTTTTACGCAACTCCAATTCACTCTACCGGTATTGTCCGCAATTCTGACATGACTAGATAAACAAACCTTCTGTCCCATAGTAACCTTAGAATATTTGAGATTCTTAGGGCAGCCAAACCTGCAGAACAGCTGTCAGAGCTAAAGCCTAAGCTCATCGATGCTATCAAATGCTGTGGTAAAGTCAGTTGTGTGTCTGTTTTCCTGAGTAGGTGACATCCACCAATGTTCCTCGTGGCTTAACAACACCCATTCATTTCTTCATCCAATTCCTGGGTGCTGAGGTTGTGCTAGCAGTCGGGATGCACAGGTGGGTATTAGACAGCCCCTGCCTTGGGGATCTCACATGGGCCCCGTGTGGTCACATGGGAGGTGTGATCCAGGGGGGCAGAGCTGACAGTATCACCTAACAGTAGGCCCTGGAAGAATTTGTTCAGAGATAAGGAGTGATCGAGTGGCCCAGGCCATAAGTTTTGTCTTTATTCTCAAAGATGGTGACTACTTTGACTTTGGATTCCTCACTTGTTAGATGGTTCTCAACCAGAGGCCACTTGTTCCTCAGGGAACATTTGACAATGTCTGGAGACATTTTTGATTGTCACAATTGGATGGAGGAGAGGTAATGACATCTAGTACGTAGAGACCAGGGATGCTGCTAAATATCCTACAATACAAAAAGGCCAGCTCCCATCCCCCCAGAAGAGAATTATTCAGCCCAAAATGTCAATAATGCTGAGGGTGAGAGAAACCCTAGGCTAGATGATCTCTATGTTTCTCCCCAGCTCTAAAAATTCTATGTTTTCTGAAACCCTTTATTTCTTTTAATTTTATGCAGAGTTAAATAGCAGCTTCCTTCTTTTCTGAGTGGAAGGTCATCTAATAATGTAGTACAACCTCCCGTAAAATTCTGGATTCCCCTTTGTGCCAATCCTGCCAGGCTGCCAACCAAGTGATGGGAAGGAAGTTCATCACCTCACATCTTGGCAAGGATCCCTGTGGCCTCAATGGTCAGCTTCCAGCTCTCTGTGGGCTAAGGGATAGGACTTCCATGAATAAATGATAGAAACTACATATCATACAGAACTCTCGTTTTAGTAGATATTTTCTCTCTCTTACTTTTTGTAACAGCCGTTAACTGGGAGCAACAATCACTGGCTTTTATTTTTCCACCTCTTCCCTTTTAGATTGACATGCTCTGAGCAGTGAAATGGTGAAACGTAAGTGACAATCAGGAAGGTCAAAGAAAGATATCTATTAATCTTCAGACTGGATTTTCAAATCCCAAGAACTCCAAATTAGCTCTACTGTCTTATAATTTCAAGGCATTTGGATTTCTTTTTATGTTCTTTATCTGCTTCAGATCCCACGGCTCTCAAACAGGAGGTCAGTCTGAGCACTTTTCTTGAGAAAATTGAGAGTACATGTGCATCCTGGTGCAGGGTTCTGTCTTCTTAGAGAGTAAAGCTGGATGTGGAGGACGTGCCATTTTAAGTCCACTGCTCAATTAAAGGAGAGTTTCTGAAGGTAGCAAACAACTGGGGTTCATATGCAAACAGGGGCTGATGAACTACAGATGTTTATTGACTTCTGGCTGTTGAGTTATAGACACCCAGGTTTTCTAATCCTGACTCTACTATTTACCATTGTGACCTTGAGCATGATCTTTAAATTCTCTAAACCTCAGTTTCTTCATCTTTGAAACAGGAAAACTAATAGTACCTACTTCATAGGTTTTCTTGGGGGATTAAATGAAATGACCTATGTCCAGTGCCTGGGTGATAATAAATTCTCCATGAGAGTGTAGCAGTTGTTGGTGTTGCTGTCATGGCTGTGGCTAAATCATACAGAGGTGAGAAACAGTGTTATTATCCAGAAAAAGTACATTACTCTGAAGAAGAAAGGAGACTCATTTTTGTTTTTGAAGGACCTCTGCTTATATGCACTTCTCATGGAATTCTACCCCATACTTTTTACAAAAAGAAAAAAAGTGCTAAGGCCATAATAAATTGAAAAATGCCGCTGCCCTCCTCCTGCACTCGTAGGTCCTTTCCAAAACTCTACCTTTGTTTCATCTCCAAAACCACACGAATTATACAGAAAGACACAGGCAGGCACAGATCAAAAGTTATGACCACGAATAAGCATAAACAGAAAACTTAAACCTTCTCAATCTTGTAAGTGTGTGAACACAGTGATAAATTTAAATTTAAGACTTTGGGGGAGGTCACACTAGGTCAATGCCCTTGTGTGAACTTGGTCTGGCAAAATGCATTTCATCTACCAGTGGTTTTCTCTTTCAATACAACCGATGATCATAATCCCTGGCAGAGCCCACTGTCTGAGCACTCCAGTACCACAGCCAACCGGAAACCAACCATGAGTGGGAAACTTTGAACTCTTGAGGAAAAATCTAAGCTTCTAAAGTAAATTTAAAGCTAGGCCTAGGGGAATCTTATTTAAATAGGTAGCCAACCTGGCATTACATAAATTCGAATTTCTGAGTGTAACAGTTAGTTCTCTGGCTACTTACCACCGAGGTTCCCCTCACAGACGCAGGAGGTCCTGCCTGACCATCGCATCTGTGGAAAGAATTTGAAATAATGTCTTTGAAGAAAAGCCTAATTTTTACCAGGAGGAAAATCAACAGACCATTTACCATTCTATGCTGTTATCTTGAGGAGATATATTTCTCATGCTCTGTAGAAAGACATTTCTTGGTTTGTTCATTGCTGAAAAGAATTTCAGAAACTTTTTCTATGATTGTTTAGAATCAATGTTATATATCTTTTTCACTCAGGGGGCCAAGAACAAATTACATAATAGTGGATTTGTACTTGAGCACAGCATGGAAACCTAATAACAAAAAGAGTTACATTTGTTAAGTGTTGACTCTGTGTCAAGCACTGGTCTCATGTTCTATGTGCATGTTAATTCATTTACATACATCACTCCTGTGAGATGGATATTATGGCTACTCCCATTTTACAGAGAGAAGATGCAGGTACAGAGAAGTGAAAATACACTGCCCAAGGTACACACAGTTAGTGGCTGCTCTTAGCTTAAGAGTCAGGCGAACGCTGTCCGACTCTCTCCTTAACCAGTACAGCGCACTGACTCTTCTTGCAAATGGGAAACAGATTTTCTGTCTCCGTGTATTTTTATTTTAAAGATAATTAAGTGAGGACCAGACTGAATAATCCATAGGAGAGTTGTTTAAAGAAGAAACCCTATAAAAATTGCTTCAATATGTTTATTTTTATAAAGATGCCTGACTTATTATGAAACAATTTTGCAGGTGAACAAGTACGCTTTTACTATTTATGTTGCTTCTCTCAAATTCAGTGAGAAGGTAAAAAATTTATAAGACCTAGGTCCAAAACTGAGACAGATTTTGATCTTTTAAATCCATAGTCTTTGCTCTGCCTTTATTCTGGTTCGAGATTTAATAGACCATAATGACTCAAAGATCTGTATAAATCAGGCCTTCTCCTCCACTAAGAGAACACTAGGTTGGATCAGTCAAAAGTAGCAAGGCACGGCTGACTTTCATTCAAACTCCTAGCTGCTTTGTGTTCATGAAAATTGTGCATAAAACCTGGGAGACCAAATAATGTTATATTTTAAAGATATCCATATGTATTTTATAGTTTAGCTCAGATTTTAAACAGAAATTGAAATTAATATCATGAATTTCTTCATAGTACTTTGAAATACTAGCTCTACAAATAATATCTAGAAGTTAGATACTGCTTATATTTTTATTCTTCTCTTCTGCACACATTTATTGAGCTTGTATTTCTCCTATATGCTATGTACTACTTCGAGCTCTCTGTAGGAAACCAATATGACCGAGATAGAGATTCCATTCTCTAAGAGCTTTTAACAATAGAAAAGATTAGCTACATAATGAGCCAAAATACAAGCCAAGACTTGATAAGTACAAAGAGATATAAGTAAAATGTGCTGAAAATGCAGAAATGCCAGCAAGCACTTCCTGGGGATGAACAGGGAAGGTGACAGGGAAAAGATGGCAGTTGAACTAGTACCAGAGGCTGAGAAACAGCATGAGCAAAAGCTTGGAGATGGGAGCATTGCAAGGAAGGTTGGGAACTGGCAAGTGATTCAATTTGCCTGGAGCCAAGAGTATACACCAGCTTGTGAAGAAAGACCCAGAACCCTGTTGGGCTGCAACCCTCACGGTGTATCCCCACATCCCAACACTCTCACCAGCTCACCAGGCACCCATCTGATTTGGAATGAGAGCAGCGTGGGCAGGTTTCTGAGAATGGCAGGTAGGTGGAAGATACGGCTAAAGGACCAGAGGATGCCTGGAGCACAGTCGGGACAGAGCACGACTGGATATGAGAGTGTGCAGGAATGGAAGGATGCACTCACCTAAGGATGTGCATGTCGTGTGTAACACCATGGACTTAGGTATAAGAGGGTATGGGACTTAGTCACCTTGGAGGACCAGAGAGTCTCTACACTTATTCCTAGACCCTGCTACAAGTTAATTTATGTGTCTGATTTGAATAGAATCCACTTATTGAGTGAATAAAAGCAACAGTGGTATCATGAAAGCTATGCTGGTAAAAGCCCTCTGAACTTGGCCATATCAAAGGATGTGAAGATACCACCTCTTCTGCATTTACTCATGAGTCCTATTGACGCCAGGTCTTAGAGATCTATCACATATATCCCCACTTCTCCATCTCCAATCATTCTGCCTGATATTAAACTTTCACAGTTTATCTTCTGGACTCTTCTCCACCCTTCATACCACCAGCAGAAAGATCTGCCTAAAATGGAAATTTGGCTTCATCAGTCCTCTGCCTAAAAGTCTTACAATTATCCCAAATCTTAGCATGACCCAAGGCTTTTGTTTTATCTGGTGAGTCTCACAGACAGTACCTCACTCTTCGAGCCTCATCTCCCCACACTTCTCCCCTCCACAAGTACCTGTACTCTAGACTTGTCAAGTTAATTCCACCTCCATTAAATATTTTCTTTTCCATACCTTCGCATATGCCATTCAGGAATTCTCATTCAACAGAGTAGGATAGGGCTCAAGAATATTCTTTTCCAACCAGAACCCTGAATGATTTTCCCCCAAGTATTGGTGGAGCACACTTTAACCACTGAGGGGCTCCACCTGGATGGCCACAGGCAATTCAGACCCTACCTGTCCAAAACAGACTCCACATCTTCCTTTCATCTCCATACCTTCCTGGCCAAGCAATCAACAAATCCTGTTGATTCAAACTCAGAAATCCCCCTCAAATCCATCCACATCTCTACATCTCCCTGCCTTTATCCTAGTTAAGATATCCATCATCCCTTGCTTTTATTATGGCAATACCCCTTTAACTATTAATATTAATCACCCTGTCTGTCAATGGGTTTTATCCTAATCCAATTCATTCTTTATACTTTAGCTAGAGTGATCAGTATAAATTGAATCATGCCACTTCCCTGCAGACTTCCATTTGCTCTTAGGTGAAAGCTGAAATTCTTTTCTGTGTCTTTGCTCTTAGGTGAAAGTTGAAATTCTTTTCTGTATTCATAAGGCCCTATGTGATCTAGTCCCTGCATACTTTCCAGCCTCATAACTCATCTTCCTATACCCCTTCTGACATAGAGAATTTGATAGACCTCTGAGCCTATGCACATATTGTTCCTCTGGATAACCATCTCATACTTGAAGAATCATTACAAATGTCATTTTCTCCAGGAGACCTACCTGGGCTTAGTCTAAGATCCATACCCCTCGTACGTGCTCCCATTGCCTATGGGTCTCCCCCATCCTAGCATTATTCTTCTTTGTGTCTCTATTTTCTTTTTATTGTCCTCACAAGACTGAAGCCCGTGAAGGCAAGACTGTTTTGTCCCACAGTGCTGTAACGGCCTTCTTCGAGCAGTTTTTGTTGACTACATGAATGAATACATTCATTCTTATCCTCACCACATCTGCTCTTCTTATGTTGTTTACGATTATAGACCTAGTTTCCCAAGTCATCTCCACTCCTTCTTCCTCACCCACCACATCCAATCACTAGGTTTTCGTATTTCTATACTCTAAATCTTGCACAAATCTGCCCATCTTTGCCTTGCTCATTGCCTCTACCATATTTTAGGCCACCACTATCTCAATAGTCTCTTTCCTGATCTCTCTGCCTCTTTTGCCTCCTCAAATCCATTTTTTTGTGCTACAGCTAGAGCAGTTTCTCAGCCCTGGCACTATTGACATGTCTTTGTTATGGTGGCCTGTTGTGTGTACGGTAGGATGTCTATTTAGCAGCATCCCTGGCCTCTGCCCACTACATGCCAATAGCATCCCCGCTTCCACTGTGAAAATCAAAAATGTTTTCAAACATTGCTAGATGTCCTTTGGTGGACAAGCTCACCCTTGGTTGAAAACCACTGAGCTACAGTGATCTTTCTTAAAATGAAAATCTGGTTATGTCATTTCTCTATTTAAAAACCATCAATGGAAAAAATATACCCACATGCACACTCACACACACACAGAAATATGCCAAAATGCTAGTGGTTTGTCCAGATCAGTGGGTTGTGGGTGATTTTATCTGATATACATATATATATGTATATAAAACATGGAAAAGAATGGCATTATTTTAAAAGTGGTCAAGGGCTCCACACTGCCTACACGATCAAGTCCTTTGTATTGCATTGCTTGTATAAAGTCTCTATGTTCTGGCCTCTGCCAACCTCTCCCACCCTGTCTCTTACCAGTCCTCACTTTATACTGGGTCACTGAACTCCAGTGACCTAGATGAATTCCTGCTTTCTCCAGTCTCTGCATCTTTGCTGTGTCATTCCTTTTGCCTGGTGCAGACTCTACAATCTTAATTGCCTAGCTCAATACTATTTGTCCTTCAAAAATTGGCTCTCCTTTTCCAAGGAGACTTCTGGATCCTCTAGTCTAAATTAAGCACTCCTCCTATATGTTTTCCTGGCAGGAATATCATGCATCACTATGGCATTCACAATATTATAGCACAGTCTCAGTAACTCAGCTGTTACTCAGGTTGCAGCAAGGCCACATGGTATCCCTTGTGTGAGTTTTAAAGAGCATACCTTTCTCAAAACTCCTTACTGTCATTTGTCAGAAATTTCCATAATAAATATACAAATCCATGATGGCCATGATGTGACTAGTGTGTGAGTTTTAAAGAGCATACCTTTCTCAAAACTCCTTAATGTCATTTGTCAGAAATTTCCATAATAAATATACAAATCCATGATGGCCATGATGTGACTAGCACTTCCTAGGAGTTCTGAGATGTGCCTCCTGCCCGACCGTAGCAATCTGGTATTCCCTACTAGATTACAAAGTCGTCCAGGCAGGAATTTTGCTTTATTTTCACTATTTTATCTCTAGCACTAAACGCAGTGTCTGATCCAGAGTAGGACTCTGATAAAAGCTTGATAAATAACCCGAAGGGAAGCTGTCATCTTGGCTGTTATTACCCACACCAGGAATTTTGACGGCCCTTGCTATAGCGGGAAAAGTAGCAACCTACACTGCAGTGGTTCCCAAACCTGAATGAGCATCTGAATATCCTGGAGAATTAAATAAATAAAGCTCCCCGTGCCCCACTTCAGGCCTTCTGAATCAGAACCACGGACTGGGGCCTGATTATCTGTCATTCTTTTTAAATTGCTTCATGAGATACTGATAATGGCCAACCAGATCAACTGGGAACCACTGGCCACCCAGGACGAAACTCAAAACCACTCCCCCTGTCTTGCTTCTCCCTTGTGCTACCACAACCCTGCTGTTTTTCTCTGGATACACCTGGGATCAGAAAAGGGTCATTTCCAAGAAGGATTTTGCTTGCTCTGATTTCTCCTTCAGTCTAGGTGTCTTAGATTCCTGTGTCTTCCAGCTCGGACACAGGCTCTCAACTAGGAAAGAGGAAGAGGGCACAGGAGGACATTTGGAAGGAGTGAGGGGGAGAGAGAGGGAGAGAGAGAGAGAAACAGAATCCAGGAAAAAAACACGATCTGCCATTTTAACTTTCCAAAATAGTATTTGACCTTTTTTGCTTACGTAACAGAGGTTGCAGCTGGACTGCCTAAGCCATGTACGCCCTGTGGATCAGGCGAATTCGGGCATGTCTGAAGAGCAGCTAGGTGGATCTTTGCATCTGAAATTAAGAAAATTACCCTAAAGGAACAGTGTGGTGGGCACACATACTCTCACTCCAAGACAACAGCTGTCATTCCAATCACAGCTATATCCTAAGTACTGTGATGGTCCTTGAAGGAAAGCGGTGGTTTAACGTTTGTTATTTGTTTATTTTCTTGGGTTTTTTTTTTTTTTTGTGGGGTTGGAGGGTTCAGTGGCTAGCTGGTACAGGGATCCTAACCCTCAACCTTGGTGTTATCAGCACCATGCTCTAACCATGTGAGCTAACCAGCCAGCCTTACATTTAATTGTAAGTATTATTCAGGAGCCTTATGAACTAGTTCTCTTGTATTTTCACTTTGCTTTAATCCTTGGGACTACCACAGGATAGGGAGAAAAACCCACATCCCTAAAATAGCCATAATGAATTGGTAGCATATGGTTGCACAGCTTTGAGGAGTGTGGACATGAGGGTAGGTGGCTCCTTTCAGGGAGTGGTTCCCTTGTGGAGTACTGTGGAGCATGGAACAGAGGGCGGCAAAGCACATCACCTATTTATGGTGTGGAGGGCATCACTGGGATAATGGGGGGTCTGGAACAAGAAATGAACAATTGTAGATGCTACTTGGCAGCCAGGAAGACTGCATGTATAAGCTCATGACTTACTCTATTGGATACTTAGAACTATGTGGAAGGAATCTGTGAGATGATGGAGTTACTGAAATCCTGTGGTGGGGTTTGTGTACCATATGTCACATGCACTAGATACCCCATAATAAGACATGAGGAAACACGATTTACAGGAAAATGTTGGGGGAAAGCTACATGAAATATATGTAGTACTTTTCTTGAATTTATTGGCTAGGCTAGCAACAAATAAATTAAAACATGAATGGAAAATACTTTTCTTTTTTCCTGGGGTTAGGGTGGGGTCAATCATTTACAAATAGAAATAAAATCATAATGGGATAATTTGGGAATTGTATAAGTTTGGGAGGAGGAACAAATCATATATGAAGCACAAATGGTAAATGCTTTTGCCTTTTTGTAAAAATGTGAAGTCACTATGTTCCCATGATTTTTTATCCACTGATATTAGAAAATTCAAAGTTTCAAAATGCCATGTGCTTATTGGCTGGGCCTTAAAGTGAGCAAGTATATCTGGAGAAATGATGAGGTCCATTTTCTTCTGGGGAGGGTTACCCATTATTCAGTGTCATTTCTCAGTTAAAACCAAAGCTTAAAAGAGGAAAAGAAATTTCTCTGTTAATCAAGTTTTTTAAAAGGGCTGAACAGAAGGCTGTCGTTTGCATACAGGGGTTGGTTCTTTTTCTTTGATTTGCAAAAGATCCATTAAACTGCTTTGCTGACCTGTTCTCCAAAGCACCAATTGTGACAAAGTCAATCCCTTGATGGCTTCAGCAAGTAGAAACCTGACTGCTGCATGACTGTGCTTCCCCAGGCCCTTTGTCAGTCCCTCCCGGTGTACTAATAGGCAAGTAGGAGCTCCTGATTCAGAGTCTGTATTTTGAAGGTTGATTTTGTATTTTGAAAGAGCAAAACTGCTAAAGAAAGTTAGGTTCTACCTGAGATTAAAGAGCTTCTTAAAATCACCATATATGATACACAATTTATGTTACCAGCCATAGCACAATACCTCTCTTAAAAAATACTTCCTCCCCCATGTTTGGGATATATATCCAAATATTTAGGTCACATTCAACTTTAAAAATAAAAAGGACATGCCTTTACATTTTATATTCTGAAATCTCTTAGGAAGAAAAAAGCAGTGCATTCATTACATTCTGTACCAGCAGAATTAATAAATATTTATCAATATCAATAATAACATTAAGATAAGTGTTAAATATTCCCACTTATGTTTTTAAAGTAAAATGTATTTAAAGATAAAAAATTCTGAAAACTGCTAAGTGCACATATGAAATTTGTTTCATTCCTGCATGCTATGTCATATGTTTCAGTTTGTCTGGTAAAAAGAGAGCTGCAAGTCATCTAAGAACATTTACTAAACAGAATCTTGCAAGAGTTTCAATTTTTTTTTCATTTTGATCTATAACCAAAGCACATGACACCCAGAATGCAGATTATAGATCTTTTATCTTCTTCAATCCACTCTGTAAATTGTAACACGAACTTGCCCATAGAGTTAACAGGTTTCTCAACTTTTCCAGTTTACTAATGTTACATTGTTCAACTATATAACACTCTGCCTTGAAGAAAATCATCTAAAACACAAATTACATCACAAGCCTATACCACACACTGGGAATGTTTCTTTCTTAAAAGAAATATTTCTCCTTAAAAGAAATATTTCCTATGCAGGAAGTACTCCTCAATTTTAAATTCCCCAAGTGAGAGAATACTAGTGTCTCAAACATTTTTACAAAGAAAAGCAACTCACCTATTCGAAGAGTATTTCCTTGCAAGTGACGCTGGTAGAGACAGTCACATAAATCTACATTTTGTTCAGTTCCTCATTATTTCATCAGTCAAAAACAGCCTCAGGTGAGAGCTGAAAATCCTTCCATCCACCCAAGATGGACGGACAGTGCTCTGCTAGGTCCAGGAGCCTCATCACATGCCCTACCAGCTGCTCACTGCCTATTGTTTTTCAGCTACAGTGACCTCCAGCACCTTTTATTCAGTGCTGCAACACTCTCAATGGTTTGCCGGCACACAGAACACATCACGTGCCAAGCCAACACCTTAACTGGGTGGGAAGCTTTGCAACCAGGAAGACATACCGAAAATATTTAGCAGTCAGCTTATGTGCACGTCAGCATAGCCTTTCTTGTTTTTCACAAAACAATCCAACTACATAATGAGTCCGATGAACTGATTTATACAGTACCTCACCGGGAATCATCTGGAACTGTGCCTCCACTGCTCCAAAAGCTTCTCCTTCCTCGCCTTATATTTAAATTCTGGGCAACCACATTGGAACGAGTGCCCTCAATACATCTGGTGACAGTAATACATTTTTCTGCTTTAAGAATCTTGTTTTTCTCTACGCTCTTTGCTCCTCTGATATTTACTCTCATCTAGTCTTTATGCCCCAACTCTCCTTATGACCACAGACATGCATTGTCCCCAGAGAGGGAGTAGTTTGGATTAAAATATTTCTTCCTGGCCAAGGCATTGATATGGCTCTTGGAGCAGTGGAAAAAAATCAAGAACTATTTCCTAATGTTTAACCCATCATTCCCAAGTGCACCACCAGGGACCTCTGCTGTTGGTCAGAAGTTGCATTTCAGGTGAGCCAAGTTTCATGGTTTCTTAACAACTTTGTCACTGTGTGAGTGACAAAGGTTGTCCTCTTTCTTTTGTTACTATCTGAATTGAAGTTCTAAGAACAAACATTAAACATTCTGAGCACAAAACAGGCTGCTGGCCTCTGATATTGAATAACTAATAGGCTGTCCCATGACCTGAGTTCAACTCACCCTTTCTGTCCTGGAGACTGAAGCTTTAAAGTCTCCTTTCCGGGTTTTCTGAATGAGAACAGGGAAGCAAATGATGATCTGAAGCTCAGCCGAGATGAAACAGATGTCTTTTTCTGATTCATTAAATTTTTAAATCCTGATGTTTGTAATTCTATCGGATCTAAAAAAAAAATTGTAAAAATTTTGCATTGTTAAAATATTTCCAGGCAAATATGCTTGGTAGAATGAAGCCTTCACTGTTGCTTCACTCTGCCCCTCTGTGCAGTCTGGAAAAGGAGCAGGCATCCTAATGTGAAGACTTCAGGAATTTGGGGGGGGGTCAGAGTCACTTCTCAGAGTCCTGTGCCCTCTGATTTTTCTGCCAAGCAGAGCAAATCCTCACAAATAGTAGGAAGTCTTTCCATATGGACTGTGGATCAGAGTTCTGTCTAATGGCCCTCCCCTCACACCAGCTGTGTGAATATCTTCCCAAGGGCTGTCCAAAACCCAAGCTAGGAGGTCCGGGACCCCATCCAATTCTCAGGTTGCTTAACCACTCCGTCCTTCAGAAATTTTTGTTTTAGGACTTTAAAACCATCGCAATAGGTACTACATAACTTTTTTTTTTTTTTTTTTTTTGGAGTAGAAAACTTTAAAAAATTTTTAATTTATCAATATACAATATAGTTGATTTTTGTAGCAACATGGATGGACTTATAATTAAAGAAAATTATATTAAGTGAAATAAGCCAGGCACAGAAAGAGAAATACTACATAACTTTTTATACTGAAGTAAAGGAAAAGGAAATTAAGCCATTTAGACTGTTTCTTAATCCTCTCCAAAATCTCTCTCTGTGTATATGTATTTGCTACATATGTGGTTTATATATGTGTATCCATGTAGCATATATATAGATAATATATCTGTATAGATAATATATAATTTTACTTATGAGCATTAAAAATTCCAAAGCAACATCAAAATATAAAAATAATACTATAAAACTATAATACTTTTGGACATGCTAATCTTATAAATATTAGAGGAATTCAAGATAAGGGAAAAGTCACCATGGGTGTTGATTTAAAAATCTGAACTGTGAGTCTTTTTATTTATTTATTATTTATTTATTTATTTTTATTTTTGGTGGCTGGCTGATGTGAGAATCTGAACCCTTGACCTTGGTGTTATCAATACCATGCTTTAACCAAGTGAGCTAACCAGCTAGCTCCGTGAGTCTTTTTAGATAAATTTGTTTATTAAGGGAGTTGCAAGATATTATCAATATATAAGTTTAGAAATATTGTTAGATGTTTCATGATATTACTAATGTTAGTAACATATGCAAAAGCAGCCTATGTGACCTTGTATCAGTAAAAAGATACTTTACACTATTTTAATATTTTATAATTTCTAATGCACTTTTTTATTTTCACAATAGTCCTATGAAAGCAGGTTTTATTATCCCCATTTACAGATTTTTGTAGAAATTGATGAAGTTAAGTGCATGCTGGTAGTCACATAGAATGTCCATAGAAGACACTTATTAGAATTCACATACGGGGCCAGCCCGTGGCTCGCTCGGGAGAGTGCGGTGCTGATAACACCCAGTCCACGGGTTCGGATCCCATATAGGGATGGCCAGTTAGCTCACTGGGTGAGCGTGGTGCTGACAGCACCAAGTCAAGGGTTAAGATCCCCTTACCGGTCATCTTTAAAAAAAAAAAAAAAGAATTTGGGCCGGCCCGGTGGCGCACTGGATAGGGCGCCGCTTGGGAAGCGCAGGGGCGCTCCCGCCCGAGGGCTCGGGCCC